AATTTTGACCTTCGATGACCCCAATATTGCTCTAAGATGAAAAATGACCGAAATACTTTCAAACGTACGCATTGAGAGCTATCGACTGCTTTTTACCGCGTCTCTTTAGCCCTCTTAGTTTTTGAGTTAGAAGTGGGTGGTAACATATGCCCCCCTCCCCACAGAATGGCGAAGTTGGCTGAGACCGCCACTGGGGCGCGGGTTAATAATCTCGACGAAGTATTTCTGACAATAGGTCAGGTCAAAGGTCAGGTAACCAGAGTTCATAACAGGTCTAATTTCGACAAAGCGGCGCACACCTCAGAAACAAATAGATGCAGCGTCGCGGAAAAGCGCTTTGGATGGCTCTTTTTAAGCCGTTTCTGAATCACTTCTTATACTTGATTCAAGGACAACGGCTTAGCCTCTAAAAGGCAAAGCTGGTAAAACTGACCTTTTTGCCTAAAATATTTTCTGCAAAACATTGAACTTACAAATTACACATTAATTTTACCGGCGTCGTGACCCTGTTCCTCCCGAGACGCGTAGGATGAACTGTTACTTGGCCTTAAAATGCCATTTTTTACCCATAAGATTCACCTAAGGTCAAGGTCACGGTCTAACCGGAAAAGGTCATGTTGCATATCAGTCGGTCCATTCCGTCGAGCCGAACACATCTAAGACGTTTTCATCGCTCTAGTATGCTTCTATCAGGAGCGAGAACTGTTAGATACCTTTCGTGGCTTAACCCTCGCCGGCCGAGGGGGAGGGGGGGGGCGGGTGCCCCCCCCCTCACATAGGTTTTTTTTCGCGATAGCTCCGAACACGCTGGCGATGGAGAGCTGAGACTTGGCATACCTGATCTTTGAATCAAGCCGGATCTTTTGACACCAACCGCATTTTCAGGTCAGGTCAGGTCACTGACCAATGACGTCATAATTAAACCTCTGCACGGTCTTCAGATATCGCAACTTCGCAACGCACTCACTGCCAGAGGAGCTTTCATAGGGAAATGAAACTTGCAGGTATCCATTACGAGTCTCACAACTTGTATATCTCGGATTTTTCCTTAAGGTCACATGAGGTCAGGTCATTTTCATGACCTCACCATTATTAGTCAAGCAATGGGGAAAAATGAAAACTGTTATTCTGGCGCCGGGAACGACCTCCAACTATCTCAAGCACACAGAATCGTGATTTGATGCACTCCTTGCAAGGTAAGATGCGTCACTTTCGCAATGATGACCTTGCGTGACGTCATTTATAGCGTCATCAAGGTCATATTAGTTTTTCGTCAATAACTCCCGATCAAATTGAGCTAGCGAGCCGGAGAAGCCACCAATGGACTCGGGAAGACCTGCCGAATCGAATGGTATGCGACATGACCTTTTTCGACCAACTTCGTGACCTGGGGGTGGCCTGACCGTTACCTGAGGTCAACACCCTAAGTTGACCTGACCCAAACAAAAAGTATATCATTCGACGCGCCTGAAGAGGCGAACACGATGCTGCCAAAATCGCGGCTCTGCGGCCGTTTTTTTGCGAAGTTTTTCACCAAAAACTGAACCGCACCTTGGGGCACTTGACCTGACCTCAGAGGTCACCGGTTGACCTAGGACCTTAAAATAGGGTACCAATCTCTGCGTCTCGTAACGGCGCACACGTTCGTCTTTTCCGCGACGCGCTAGCTCCACCAGGGGCGAAACGGCGAGGGGGTCGTACCCCCCCCCCCTCGGCCGGCGCGTATGTAGAAAACCAATAGGTCCGGCGAGGGTTAAATGACCATAGGGACATAACAAGGGGCCAAGGATGCCATTTTCCGGTTGTGTGTCACATAACTTGTAATTCGGTGTTTGAAAAGTTTAGAATGACTTTCGTCCAAAAAAGGTGTCTTTCAACATTCTCCCATTGACTTAGGTACAATCAAGGCCCTAAATACAAGGTTGCACGGACTTATTTCTACTAAACCTACCAGAATATAGTTCCACGGTTGGCTATTTAAATAATTATTCAATCAAAATTTCTTTATTATTATCTCGTAATCATTTATAAGCAATTTTTATAAATCAACTTTCAATTTCCTTGCCTTTTACTAGCAAAACAACTTTTATAGTATTGGGTCAACATAGTGGTGTAGCAGTAGGAACCACATCTGGCAAAACCCCAATACCTACATACAGCAGAAAAGCAGCCACCAGGCGTCGCTACAGTCGCAGCACAGATGTCGCGCGCGTCGCCAATCGCCAAACTACCGATTTCCATAAGGCTGCATATGTATAGATATGTAACGGAAAGTCGCCCTTAACCCTCGCCCGCACATGGGGGGGGGTGGTTGCCACCCCCCCCAGGTAGTCTTTCTGCTCTGCACTCAACATTTTTAGAGCTAGAAGGCTGATTTTTCGTATAGCTGCTCCTCTATCCTTTCTTGATGTCCACTGAAAATTTCAAGTTTCTGTGATTTTTGGTTTTGGAGATATGACCTTGTTTTTCAGGTCATGTCATGACCCAAATGGCCAATTCTCAACATCTTTCACTTGCCATGGGCCTTGTGAGCTTTTGACACCCTGTTTTCGGCCTTTTTTGCCAGTCTTACCTCCCACCTATCATGGAACATGTTGTTCGACGATGTACAGGGGTCAAGGTCAGGGTCAAGGTCAACCTAGGTCATCTAAGATAATTGCGTTTTAGGCAAGCTAAATTTACTTTTTGTGAAGTTTTTTGACTGCATTTTTGGTAAAAGCTTTTCAGATCATGATTTCATGTAATATGGACCCAAAAACAATCGGTGCACACATCAGTATACACACAGACACACACAGACATACAAACACATATAATTGACCTTGACCTAACTTGACCTGAAATGACCTCAGCAGCAAAATTCTGGTCGGGTAGTGTGACAAAGAGGTTCTAGCTGGCTTGGCACCAGAAAACAGCATCGTCATCGGTATTTGATAAGCAGCGCACTTGATATCCAACGGTGACCCAAAACAGCAATATTTTTTAGTTTGACCTGACCTGGAAGGTCAATGACTGACCTGAGAAGGTAAAACTGGGTATCATTGGATTCGTCTCTTCCCAAAGAATCTTTTTGGTCTTTACTGCTAAGCTCTATCTCCAACAGGAACGAAATGGCGCGGGGGGGGGGGGTGGCAACCACCCCCCCATGTGCGTTCTAGGATGGGAAAATAGCATGTGCGGGCGAGGGTTAACCCTATTCCTGGCGGGGGGGGGGCCTCAGGAGCCCCCCCCCCCTGAGGTTTTTTGGTTATTTCTCCCAAACGCGTTGAGCTAGGAAGCTCAAATTTTCTGACTTTTCCTAAAAGGCTTCTACGCAACATGTCTGAAAATTTTGAGTTGATCTGACCTCAGGTCAGGTCACCAGAGGCGGTTTGGTGACCCTACCTCAAAAAAGTTTGCAATCACGCCAGAGCTAGAGTTTTTGACCGATCAATTTCTTCTCTTCAGGCTTTAGTTAGGGTACCAGTATGTGCAATTTGTATATCTCGGAATTTTGATATCGGTGACCTAAGGTCAGGTCAGTTTCGCGACCTCTCCATTATAAGTCAATGGGGGAAAAATCAACTCCCTGTTTTTACCACTAAAACGGGTTGAAATGGCCCCATATACCATACATGACTTCATATACGATCAACCTTCACTACCTTGAGGTCTGTTTTGCTGTTGGGCAGCTGTGAGGTCATGTGACGTCATCAAAGGTCACCAAAGGTTTTTGGCCAATAACTCCGTACAGGAACAAGATACAGACGCGTGGATGGTCTCATTGTGTTCAGCTCGTCAAGACGCATCGAATGATATACATGATGACCTCGAGGTCACGTGACCTGAGGTCAACCTTTGACCTTGACCTTTCGAGGTCAACATATATATCATTCGATGCGGATTGACGAGAGGATCACGATGATGCCCTTAGTTTGTTCCTATCTTGACTAATTCGAAAGTTATTCGAGAAAAACTCTCTCCATATCTAGCGCCGCCATTTTGACTTTTTCGACCCCTGTGACGTCATCTTTGACCTGACCTGAAAATGACCTTAGTAAAAATTGTAGATCTTGACCGTGCGTATCCGATGCCGTTTACCGTTTGTCGCTATCTTGCTTCGTTCTCGAGATCTCAGGGGGGGGCCGAATCGGCCCCCCCCCCCGCCAGTTTCTTGTCCCGGCGGAGCCCGCCAGGAATAGGGTTAAGGGTTACGCTTACATCCTTTGCTTATCAGGTCGATGGTTGGAAATTGGGAGGGTCTCGGCTATTTTCGACCACGGATTTGCCTCTATCACATGATGAGGAACATGCTGATAAGTGTTTTATGTGTCATAACAGCACAAAAGTATTTTTAATCATTTTTCAAAAATAGCCGTTCTGCCGTATCTTTCAGTGCAAGGTGCCGTCGGTCATCCCCGACGTGACGTCACGCCGGGGATTTCCAGATTTTCCTACTAGACTTCGACGCCCCCTGGGTACAATGGATAGGTCTGTGATTACAATGGATACAATGGATACCTATGTCTAGTCACGGCGGGAGGTGCGCGGAGAGGCGAGCCCAGGCACGCACAAGTGGGGTGCCCCAACTCATGCACATCACAGGTCGCAAAAATGACCTAGCCCTTAGGTCACCGATGTCAAAGTTCCGAGAAAAACATTTGATCATATCGTTGCTCTTATCCATTGCTGAAAGTTTCAAAGCGATCGGTCACTCGGTGACCGATCGCTTTGAAAAACATTGAAACGTTTTGAAAGGTTAGGTTACTTGATCTGACCTGGTGACCTGACCTTGAGTGACCTTGGTCTGTAATTTTCACATGCGCGGAAAATATGTATGATGTGTGTCAAAAACGCGAAAAACTACAGGTGTGTGTGTGCGTGTTCAAACAACCCCCACCCGGCAGGGCGCGGGTTAGACTGTGTTTCAAATATTTCACCCCAAGGCCCTAGTTAAAACAAGCTTAACTAAAATATGAGTAAGCTTTAACCATCAGCCATCAGCCTGCTAAAATAGAACAGCCTTTCCACAAACATGTATTAGCTAAATGAAGTGTGAACAATGCAGCTGGCGAGAATCATTCTCAATGGTCTCTCTGAGCCAGCCTTGGATCTCACCAGAAAGATCTTACAACCACCAGCCCCATGAGCGCAGATGGAGGATCACAGCATGTACTGCAATGTCCTTGTAATAAATTTCAGCACTCCATAACGGTATCAAAGACCAAGTCAATATACTTCCCGCAGATAACCAGCTGTGCCTCTTCACAATGACCTAAATTTAGTAGTCTGAATCATAGTCATAGTCCTCCTCATTGACCTCAATGCTCTGGAAGTTGACAGTGTACCTCAGCATCCCTCCCACTCCACCGAACCCTCGGACAAACTGTGAGCCCTCTTGTGACCTGTCAGTGATGATCTCAAGCGATGCTCCGAAGGACTTGTAGTTGTTGGCCAGCCACTCCAGCAAAGGCATGGAATCCACCAGCTCCATCTCAACACCTGAATCACTGTCAGTGAAGTGGGATCTGTCCTTTTCTTCCTCAGGTGTCAAGTGCAGAATCTTCTCCTCCCCACTTGCGTGGTTCTTGAGGACAATCCTCTGGATGTCCAAGTTTTCCCAACAGATCAGGGTTTCCACTGCTCCAAGCTCCAGAGCAGCCAGGGTGTCTTTGACTCCAAAGCAGTACTTCCCAGTGTCCTGGCTGATCTCATCAAAGTAGCGCCCAATCAGCTTCTTCTCCTGGATGAACTTGACATTTGCCAGGCACTCAGCTGACAGCTCAATGGCTTGGTTGAAACCATTCTCTCCACCATATGATACATCCACCAGCTTGATGATTGTTGCCTGGAGGCGAGGATCAAACATGTCTGACTGGCTCAGCTCTGTCTTGAAGTCTGCACTTCCTGCAAGGATCATCCCAGCAATGTTGGGCCGGTCATTGGTGATGAAAAAGGTCACTGCAGTTTCAGCCACTTTTCTCACATAGTTATGCCTCTTTTCCATCCTGAGACGGGCAAATCGGAGCGCTGACTGACCTCCACGACCATGCTTTTTGGGCAGGTCCACAGTGAATTTGTGGAGGACATCCCTGGTGTTGCCTTGCAGAGTTCCAAACAAAGCACCATTACCATCCATGATGATGAAACCAAACTTGTTGTCATCAGCGAGCAACGCCGAGAGGGCCTCAGTGTGGAACTTGTTGTCACAGAGGTAGAGGGATGTATTGATGGCTTTGAATGGTTCAAAATCGATGTTGACTTTCTTTTCCTTACCTTCTTCTGTGACGATAGTGCCACAGTAGATCACCAGTCCTTTTGCTGGAACCTTTGTGTACAATTTCAACCTGTGCTGCACGGATGTGATGGCACCCAACACGGACAATCTGTTCACTCTTGACTTGATGTTTGAGGCCGTACCAAACTCATCAGCCAGCATTTTCGCAACACGCGAAATCTGATCTCTGGGAGGTATAATCAGGGAGATCATGCTCGTCCCGTTTCCCCTTGCCTGCTCCAAGCTTTTGATAAGCTTCTTGATCTTCCATATTTCAACGTTACGATCAGCAGATGTGTCCTCGTTAGACGCCATTTTCTTAGGCTTTTGTTGACTCAAATGCTAGATGGCGAAAGGCGCCACCCAGACAAAGTGGAAATTCACTGCTCTCTTTCTCCTTCAGATAATAAAAACCCGTAAAATGACAAAATGCCGACAAGCTTTCACACGGATGAACGACTGTCTACCACATGGCGCAAGACACGGCTCGCTTAGAGGTGGACAAAGAGGACCAGAGTGAATATTCGAATAACGAATAAAGAATATTCGCATATTAATAGATGTTCAAATTGAGGTGAACTACAATTATTTCTATTTTCTAGAAAATAAACTTTTAAAACGTTAAGAAAAAATGTGATTTGTCTGTAATATGCTTCAGAAGTAATAAAATTTTTACAAATTCGGTTTGGTAAGGAGCACTATATTGGATGGATTCGATGCGTCAAACCTCAAGGACCATAGATATTATCGATATATATATTGTGGTATATTTTTAGGTTAATTGACACCGATATGTGACCTTTGTGTTTCTTTCTTTTAGATATTGTGGCATACAAAAGAACGTGATTTAATTCGAATTTTCAATGTTCTCAATTTATATAATTATTTTTACACGCTAAATTTCACGAAGCAGAGTGGCGCAGTGGAAGCGTGCTGGGCCCATAACCCAGAGGTCCGTGGATCGAAACTACGCTCTGCTACTTTTCTGTATGAAATGTTTATTAGTATGTTTATAAGTTAATTATCTTCAGCTTGCCTTTTTGCCGATTTTAGTCAGTAGTTACCTACTAGAAATTGCGTGAAAGCAAACTAACAAACTTGCGCTGCTGGCGAATTCATCGTGCATGTCACTAGACTGCATCAATGAGGATTGCGGTCTGCGGATAAGGGTTGTTGAAAAATGGAAAGGTTTACGGGCTCGCCGAGAAAACCAGAAAACCAAGGAGGGGCGGCGTGGGGTAAGAGCCCTAGGTTGGAAAGGAAACCTCGACTCTGTTGGCTACCGACTTTCCCTTGGGCAGTCCGGGGAACAGGAAGCGTACTGAGAGCCGGCTTATACGCGATTGGGTTTGTTCGGAGATGGATTTTTTTTTCTATATCGCCTATATTGGACATATACGGACATAATTGCTGGGATTAATTCATGTTTGGGCGGGCCTGTCGTTTTTCTGATAAATCACATTCAGGGGCGCGGGAACTACTTTCCGACTGGGGGGGGGGGGGGGGGGGCACACCATAATAGAAGGGTACCCCCAAATCTAGTTTTCTCACCGGTTTTAGGCCACTTATTTTTCACCCCTCGGCTTTTTCAACAAAAAAGAAAACATTTGCAAAAAAAGTGTGGTATTCCGTCTGAAAGCTGTGGGGGCACCGCCCCCACGGCCCCTGAGTTGGGGCCGGGGCAGGCTGCCCCCACTGCCCCCCCCCCCCGGCTCCCGCGCCTATGATCACATTTACAGACTACAGTCAGTGAAAAGCCTAGGAGGTGCTCTCGCAATCAACTAAACCTGGAACATAGACATAGGTATCTTGCAACATATGTATCTTGGATATACAGACCAGCGACCCCTTGCCAGCAACCTTTGCTAGGATTTATGACGTCACAATACATTTCAACATTTTAACCATATACGGTGAAAAAGATCAGGGTATATAGAAAAAGATAAGCCTTGACAAGCTTGGCATCAGCCGGTCTGTGATGGTCCATGATCCTAAGAAATAAAAAACATAATTCGTGGATTCGTGGTGTCTTTTTTGTTATTCCGGTCTTTTCAAATTCAGCTTTAAGAACCAGAACGGCACCGAGGTGCTGTAAAGCAGATTTTGTTGTTGGGATCGCTTGTTTTCTGTTTATTTAAAAGTCTTCCACTTGGTGAGTAGGTACCTAGATAGGTAGATAGGTGCTTACCTACCTAGCTAGGTTGAGTTCAGGTATAAAGTCAAACCTCAAACTCAGCTTGAATTTATTTCAATTTGTGAATAAGAAATAACACCTAAGTATATGTTTCAGGGCCCTGTTTTGCACCTCAACCTGGTAAAATATTATGCCTGAGCTCTGTTCGCACCCCGTTTATTTATCAGCAGGCTGCAACCATGCTGCTGCTTCTTGGCTCCTCATTGGTCAAATTTAAGTGGTCTATTCGTTAGACCAATGAGAGGCCAAGCTGCGCCAGCAATAACTTTCTTATGTGGGGAAAATCGACAGCACACTGATATAAAAACAGCAAAGATATAAGCCTCTCAAAAGCGTTACAGGCCGTGCCGGGCCGGGCTGCTCAGACTGAGATTTTTCCGTTATATTGAAAAGACTTTGGTGCGCTCACTCGCTCGTATTAAGAATATGTGCTGTGCAATACATATTGTAAAAAAGTCATGCTGATATGTTACACTTCAAGTAGGTAGGTAAATTCCCATTGCTCAGAAATGAATTCTTCATTTGAATATTGATTAAAATAGCAATACTGAACGAGACTTACTAGATGTTGCTGGGTGCCTAATCTTACCAATGTTTGTTTTGCAGTGGCTCTATTGGGAAAATAGGTACTCAATTGGAAAATTATTTGCTGCCAGGTAAAATAAGGTAAAGTAAAGTAAAGTCAGGTAAAGTAAAGGTCAGATAATTAGGTCAATGGTCATCATGTCCTATTTTCCCTGACTTTGCCACTTTTGCCATTAATGAATGGATGGAGCCAAAATATTATACAAAAGTATCCATGAGATCTTATTAAAAAAGTTCTTTTCAAATTTGATCATAAGCAAGGATTCAACCTTGGATCAATGTGCCAAGGCCTTTAACATTATCAAATGATTCATGACTATCTTTGAAGGCCCAAGGCTTGTCAGAATGGCCTGAGAGGGCTCAAAATCTTTAGATACATTACCTACCTGCTCAGTAAACTGATTATGGTCGGAAACATCTCCATCTTACAGGGTCCCCAACTATGATACATCCTGCTCAGACCAGGGGCATTCATCCTGCTCTGTTCTGCTTCCTCTGGAACACACATTTTGAGTCACTGAAAAATGTTTTTGACTTACACTTGGTCTTTTGGATTGACTGAAGGTATTTTTTTTTATAGAATCATTTCTCTGAGGCCCTTTAATTGAAGCCTTTTTGCTTTTTTAGCTTCATTGCTAAGGGATGGGGGCGACAATGCAGCTGGAGAGCATACTTCGGGCCTAGCCCAGCGAGGATGTGATGTGCGATGGCACTTGTGCTGTCAATGACACTTGTTCTGGTCACCAGGTGCTGACTGCTGCTGACAATGGCAGGCCAACAGTACTGTCTAAGATGGAACGACTTCCAATCCAACATGGTCTCTTCTTTCAAACATCTGCGCAGCGAGAAGAACTTCCTGGATGTGACGCTCGCCTGCGAGGGTCAGACATGCAAGGCACACAAAATGGTCCTCTCTGCCTGCTCACCCTACTTCAAAACGCTTCTAGAGGTAAGATTCACCACCCTGCTCATTTTCGCACAATCGTTGACATTGGTGAGCATGCCATAAAGCATCATTTATAGGCGTAGGAACGCTTTTGAAAGTGTGTGGGGGGAGGGGGAGGGGTAGGCTCTCAGAGACACCGATGACGGCGATGGCATTCAGCTCTGTGTTGTCTGTATTTCATAGTTTAGCTCTCAGGCCATAATACAGTGCGGTAGATGCAAGAAAATAAATGCATTGGATGACATGGCGCTTTTAATGTGCGTAGATACGTGCTAATTTCATTTGTAATGAAGCAATGCAATGCTTTTTGCAGGTCTCACATCTCACATCACATTATAACTTCTGTCCACCAGTGTCAGGGGTGATGTTAACAATACCAGCTGTTCCTGAACCTTTTATGTTATTTGAGGCAGGAGCTCGGCCTTCATTGGGCCTTATAAAAACAAATATCTACACAATCCAATGGCTTTAGTAAAACCCGCGTAACAGCTTATTCTGAACTCCCGTGACTTATTATTAATGCCGTTATATTGCACAAAGCACGTGCTGAGAAAAGGGCTAAATATTGCAAATAACGATGCTTCAAAATGGTGTAACTTTTTAAAATTGAAATGTGTTATTGCTGGGTGAATCAGGTAGTCGATGACATTTGCGTGAGAAAAAAGCATTCTGGTTAGTCTCGGCGGTTTATATAGCCTTGGTCTCGGCAGAAAACACTACGTGCGAAGTTTATTAAGATGGTTTTCATTTCGGTTTCGGATTCGCTTCGGATATTGTGCATTGTGCAATAGCCTCTAGTGTGGTGCGACACATTGCAACTCCCCCGTTTAAAATGTTTGGTCTATGTTGACGTCCGCCATCTCGGGTTGTTGGCGAGCCGTGGTGCGGTTCGCTGAGCTCCGCGACTGAGTGGCCGACGCGCGCGGTGCGGTCCGCTGGTCTGACGCTCTGCCGCCCCGCAGGAGAACCCGTCCAAGCACCCGATCATCATTCTGAAGGACGTGCCATTCAGCCACCTGCAGGCCATCCTCGAGTTCATGTACGCCGGCGAGGTAAACGTCGGCCAGGACCAGCTGCCCGACCTGCTGAAAACCGCCGAAAAACTCAAGGTCAAGGGACTCATTGATGTCAACAAGATGTGAGGCGTCTCCGTCGCGTAGAGCGGGTGGTTCGGGGGGGGGGGGCAGGTTATTTTGGGGGGGACTGGGGAACTGACTAGGTGATCTTTGGGGCGCGGATGGCCGTGCAGCCGTTATCGCTCTCGTGGGTAGCTGGTTAGGCCGGTGTGGGGTGGAAGTCTCCAGCGGGGTTTGTTGACACTGCGGACGATCACCAGCTCAGGTCTCGCAGTTCGTGTGAGATGCGGCAAAAGCCATCGCGTCGCGGTAGATCTGGCGAGGGCCTTTGGACATACGCTGGATAGTGGATATGACCTTAGAACCAGTGTGCTTACTCGTGGGCTATGGCCAAAAGCCAGCCGGGTGACCGTTGACTGGCCAAATGGCCCGCCTGCCTGCCGGTCGGGGGGGGGGGGGGGGAATAGACGGGAAACGCCGTCTGCCGGGTGGATTGCACGCCGGGTGTCTCGAGTGCGGTGGGCAGGCAGCCGGCCACGCCCTCGCTCAGAGCGGGCGTGCGGCCCAGCTGGGTGGGTAGCCGTTCTAACCGGGCGGCTCTGGAGGATACCGCCCGTACCCGGGCCTCGGACGCTCTGAGCGCGCGCGGCCGAGGCGCTGACGGCGGGGGGGGGGGGGAGGGGTATTGAGCGGGTGTGCCAGCCGACGGACATGCTATTGTGTCAGCGGTGTGCGATTGTTGATGTCCATTTCAATCGTGCCTCGCGCTATTTTTGTCATCATGAATCCGATGGAATTTGTTCTTTAGTTTTCATAGATGGATTTTCTCTGCTGATGACATGTCTCACAACTGACGTTTGTTGACGAGGTGATATGAATACATGTCAACATTTGTTCTCTCGTTTCCTAGGAAATTTTCTTTTGTGCTCTCATCGCGTTGACAAGTGTGCAGCTCATGTTGATGATATACATAATAGATGGAGATGGAATGGGCCTGCTTTGTGCAATTTTTTTAAGCATTCTGCGATGATTCTGAGTGCGGCAGCAGCTGAGGTCCATACGACGGCATGCCCCCCCCCCCCCATTACTAGCATTAGAACATCTCATTTGTCAGTTTTTGTACCTTGTCTGGCTACTCAGCGCAACTTTGATAACTTCTTTCATCCCGTTCATTTTGTCATCAGCCAATGAAATTTAACTGTAAAAATCTGGTGACCCGTTTCGTTATAATAATCGTTATGTTATTACTGGTTATTTTCGTCTAAAATCCAGGCGAGCTATTGACTGTTTATATTTATATGTTAATATTCCTCTTCCTGGACGATTTTATGTACACCAACCAGAACAAAGCAATCCAACACTGCCCACATGGCTCGACCACTAAGCGTTAGTGTGCGCCGGCGAGCCCCATACTTTACCGGCAGACACCGGCTCAATTCTGTCTGTCCTCTCGCGCGGGCGGCGCCCCGGCTGGCAGCCGAGTAACGGGCTGGGGAGTCGTCCCACCGGCTCTGGCGGACCGGTTCGTCTCCCGGCGTCCGGCCGGCACTGGGCGGCCGCGGAGCCACCATCCCGGCCAGAGTACGGCAGCTCGAGGCGGTCCTGACTAGACAGTAGTTGTCCCTAGTACTGGGGCCGCATTACTGTAATTGCGGCTACCAATTACCAGCATCATTTCTCTAAAGGGCGCCCGGAGTTACTCCGGGCGGATATTGTGCGCTCAGTCGCACGGCACGACTGACTGCACAATGTCCACCACCACACACGCGTATAACTGGGGCCACGCACGGTATTGCAATCCGTCTGCAATTGTGCGACTGACCTCATTATGTCCCCCACCGCGACACACGCACATCGACTGTGTGATTTATTGCCGTCTCCCGTCTGAGCCGCTGCGCTGGGGCGCGGTTCCCGCACACACCACTCACTGAAGCACGGCGTACGCACGCTGTACCCAGTACGCGGCAGTACAGCGCACAGTGCCGGCCGGGGTCAGCGCGGCGCTGTCCCACTCTGTGCTCAGAACACACAGACACTCACACTGCACCCGCGACCACACACACGCTCCGCACACCCGCACTATACACAGGCGCCCCATACAGTCGATAAATATACCAACCACTCTGCACATACCTTGGGTACTGGCGGTACTTGGAGGCCTTGCCGGAGTCGCCTGTATACGATATTTTACACGCTGCCGCGCCTATTTCTGACAACAGTCACCACACACGTCTGCGGTCAACACAGAGGTTATACTCATCAGGTATAAGACGATCAATATTCACCTGGGACGGGCAAGCAGTCTGCCCACGGTGCCGGTACACCTTAGCCCTGCATACGCCAGGTGAACGTATACGGTACAGTACTCGGGTACCTAAGCCAGTCAAGCTGCATGCGCTCGGTACTCTGTACGGTACGGTAGGATGCCAAATTCACTAGCCATCCAAGTAAAACGGGATCGGACGCAGGTCGCTCGCTTCCTTGGGGTTCGAATTCTGCCACACGACCCCCACTCAGGGCCAACCGAGCCCCACCGCCCCTCGCCAGGGGGTCCACAACCACGACAGACTGTGCGCATAATAAAACTTTAAAACACGGCACATAACAAAAACGTCACTGGACAGTAAATACTCTGCACTGAGTGGCCGCCGCACTGCGCGGCCCGTACGTAGTGTACGGATGGACAGCCACCTGACCTGACCGAGCCAAGGCGCCCTGTGCGGCTGACCTCAGACCTGCCGGCTGCACAAACCGCCTGAGCGAACCACTTCCTCAGCCGCGAGCGATGAGGTCTGCGGGTCCGCTGGCATGGCGTCACCGGGCGGCCGACTATCACTGATCCCTGCTCTCCAGCTGACTAGTCAGTCGTGGCGTGACGTCACTGGTCCGGCGGCAGGCGCCCGACTGTCCAGTCCGGCGGCTGAGCCGCTGACGGCCGGCCGCTAGCTCTGCTGTAGTAGCAGCGTGGTGGCCACGTTGATGTCGTTGTTGGAGGTGCGGAGGGCGTCCTCCACCTGGTCGCGCTGGAAGCCCATCTCCACCAGGTGACGCACGCAGGCCTCCGAGGGCGCCGCCGGCTCTGCCTCTGCGGGAGTCGGACAGCGACGGCGTCACACACTGCACCGTGCGATAGGACACAGCGCACGGACGCGTTTCAAAACGACTTCCCAACTGATACAGGACGATGATCAGTACCTATCGATTTGATTACTGACAAAAGTGCAGGGAAATATGGAAGATGAGTGAATACATCAGTGAAGTCTGATTCAATATATTTATAACTGCATAGGCCCGCAAAAACGAAGCGCATCCTTTGGCCATTCATTCACTTTTAAGGTCAACGAAAAGACTATCACGTATTCAATCACATGATTAAATTTTCGGACAAGATTGTTCTCAGCTTTGGCTGCAGGAGTGAGTGACATAGGTACAAAAGTCGCTCTCGCGTTAGCACAAGGCGAAGAGCTATGAGCCCGCTTCGGGTGCAAGAACGACTGCCGCAGACAGCCGCTCTCGCACCGAGTTTGGGGAGCGCGGGGAGGACCGTGTACCGGTGGGGTGGCTCGCCCTGCCGCGGCGACACGTACCCTGCCGCGGCGACACGTACCCTGCCGCGGTGGCACCTACCCTGCCGCGGTCTCACCCAGCCTGCAACGGCGGCGACACGTACCCTGCCGCGGTGACACCTACCCTACCGCGGCGACACCCGCCCTGCCGCGGTGACACGTACCCTGTTGCGGTTGGTGATCGGCGGCGGCTGCTGCGGCGGCGGCCCGCTGCCGGCCGAAGAACAGACCGTTGAGCGGCTGGTCACCGTGCCCCACCAGCTGTTCGGCGTACCCCTGGCCCTGCTGGTGCCGCGCCTGTGCGCCGCCGCGGCCCGCGCCGGCCTGCCGGACATACCACACTCAGACCGGACCGCATAGCAGCTCAGGGCATGGACAGACAGTGCACATTTGAAACAACGCTCACCAGCTTATCTTGCAAAAACTCACACACCAATTATGTTAACACAAAAACATCGTTTACAGAATAGGACTCCCATCACAAATGGAGTAAAAGCCATCTATTTGATGACGCAGGCACAAGGTGCCCACATACTCGGAATATTTGTACTTATAGCGCAGCCTTCCCTGCCAAAGATGACAAAACAAAACCAATCCTCCAGCTGCAAGCGATACTCAACTGAGCATTTGGATTTTTTGCTTTTAGCGTTTTAGAGAGCCATCACACGCTCATAGTGTTACACAACATTGACACGATCGGTCGACTGGTGTCTCTGACTGTGATGTCGCTAGGTCACCGGTACGTACCGCGTTGCGCTGTCGCATCTCTCGATATCTATCCAGCAGCATCTGTTGCTCGAGCATGTCGATCTGCTGTTGTCGCTGCGCCTCCAGAGTCGCTGCCATCGGGCCGTCGGTGGGCGGCGACGAGGAGAGCAGTCTGCCCAGCGTGCTGTCAGCCAGCCAGCAGAGCGCCGCCGGCAGCCGCAGACGACCCAGCCGCAGCGGGCTGCACCGGTACAGCAGCCCGGCCGCCTGGCGGGCGGCGAGCACACTGTCAGGCACGGACACGAGGGTAGACACACAGTCATGGGCAGCTCAGAATCGGTCAGTCCGACACTGGAGCACCCATCGACCGTCACCTGCACCGTCCTCGACATCAGCAACCAATTACGCTGCGACAACAAAAACCAGTGTTCCATTTTTGGGAATTTTGGGTGGAAAATCACACCTAATGGGCAAAATATTTTCATCCCCAAAACCAGGTAAATTGGAATTCTTTCATCTTTGAAAAATGCTCAACGCATGCTCAACAATTAACAGCCAGATTACCAGATACATCTAGCAGCGCCATATAGACAGAACTTACAGGTTTGCTCCATAATACGCAATTTCCATGAAAAAAGATGCTAAATCAAGGCACAAACCCAACAACTCACCCTGACTGACAACGAAAGAAAATAACCTTGCACACTTCCAGCTGTTAATAACAAATATGCGTTGAATGACCTTGATCACCTCAACTGTTTGTAAAAACCAGGCTTGTGTTCTGAATAAATGCTTTTGGATATTCATAACAACTATGATTGGTGGTTTGCTGCCAACGCAAAGCGGATGAGCCGCTGCTTGCGCAAATTAAACACTACCTCTGCAATTCGCTTTTGACTAAGTTACGCAGGATACGCCTACAAAATTTTCATCTTTGGACCCGCAGTCAGCTGGGCACACCCTGGCACACCCTAGGGATGAATTTAAAACTTGGTGGGCTATAACTTGTTTCATATACAAAATAGGGTTATAAGACCGATACCAATTTATTCTACATTCATTTCTGATCCTGTTGTATCAATTTCACCACAAGTTATGTCCGTCAATGGCTTCTAGAGGACTTTAAATCTCGATGCGTCGGGCCTGGCAGAGGTCCAAGATGAGAAAAGCCACCCTGCGCACACCCTAGGGATGAATTTAAAACTCCGCGGTCTCTGGCTGGTTTCATAGGTAAAATAATGTTTTGAGACCGATACCAATTTATTCTGCGTTTATTTCTGATCCTATCGCATCCATTTCGCCACAAATTATGTCCGTCAATGGCTTCTAGAGGACTTTAAAGCTCGAGGCGTCGCGCCTGGTAGAGGTCCAAGATGAGAAAAGCCACCCTGGGCACACCCTAGGGATGAATCTAAAACTCCGCGGGCTCTGGCTGGTTTCATAGGCAAAATAATGTTTTGAGACCGATACTTATTTATTCTGCGTTCTTTTCTGATCACATTATATCAATTTCACCACAAAGTATTAACGTTATTAGTTTTTAGATGTCTTTAAAACTCGAGGCGTCGGGTCGGGCAGGGGTACAGGGGTACAAGATGACTGACACGCCACCCTGGCACACCCTAGGGATGAATATGAAACTCTGTGGCCTCTGGCAGGTTTCATACGCGAAATGAGGTTATAAGACCGGTAATGATGTATTTTACGTTAATTTCTCATGCTTTTGCAATAATCTTACCGTCAATTATTCATTTCAATTAGTTTCTAGAGGTTTTTAAACACGAAGCGTTCGGCCGAGGGAAAGCCAAGATGAGTGAAAGGATACCTTGGCACACCTCTAGGGATAAATTTAAGATACGGTATTCCCAGATCTGCCCAATACATGTTCTGAAGCTGGTAGATTGGATTAAGAAGGCCCTAGCTTTTTAATAAATTATCCCTCGCCCGTATGGGGGGGGGGGTCGAGCGAACCACCCCCTCGTTTTTTTCGAGAATAACTCGCGAAAAAGCGGCCGATTGCGACGAAACTTTCAGGACCCTCGAGTCAATTAATTGGACACCTACTCTGAAAATCTCATATTCCTGACCCAAATGACCTTTGACCTGTGACCTATTTCTTGAGGCCATGTTTGGCCGGAATCGCGATTCGGCGTATGTCGGCTCGCATTATGTCCTGATGTCCTGATCAGCGATGCCCTCCGTTCCGTTGCAGTTGCTCTGATCAGTGATCACTGATGCCCTCCGTTCTGTTGCGGGTGCTCTGATCACTGATCACTGATCAGTGACGCTCTCTCACTCAGCACTTACCACGTGACATGATACGTAGCTACCGCTCCGTTTCGGTGGCCGGCCATGAGGTCGGTGGCAACCTTTTATCATTTTTTTTGCGTCCCGTTCCGTTCCGATACGGATGCCCTGGTTAGTTGCACACTTTTTATTGCGATGTTGCGCATTAGGTATGCTGCGCAGTGCACATCGTTCCGTTTGGGGTGCCCTAATCAGTGACCCTTTTCTAGTCTCATGTAGTGCACCGTTCCTTTCGAAGAGTTGCGCTGACACCGTTTCCATTTTCACTATGCGTAATGAGTACCGACTATCGCTGGCCGTTCCGGCGTTCGGGCCGGGAGATTCCCGGCGTATGTCATGCTGCATAGTGCGACTGCAATTGCATACTCAATACTGCGTCCCGTTCCGTGTGCTCAGAGCGAAGGCACCATTTCCAGTATCATCCAGCCATTGTCATATCTGTTGAAAATGGAAAGCTCAAAGCTATACTGTGTACACTGTACGAATGTTACCAGGTCAGATGCGAACGAAAACTACGTACTTATATTGCCGCATATTATCTCAAATATACAGTAATCTTGGAAGCAGTGCTGCCATATTGTAGGCGCAAAACGTCCCAGAGGACAGAACACATGAGTTATACGGTTTCTGGTTTCATAGCGATCAGTTACGACAACAAACTGCCCATCAGGGTATCATGATTACCTAAGATTTTATGTCTGACAGTGTCACAGTGATGACCACGCCTCACCAGTGTTCTAAAATTGGATTTTGGTTGGGTGTGACGATGATGACCAAAAAATCTAGGATGAAAAAAAAAAACAAGTGAAAACCTATACCTATCACTTTCGCAATAAAGGCGTAACGCTACGCTGGCTGATAATAAAAGAACATACCATTCCTGACCACCAAAGCTAACCGAAAAAGACGATGCAAATAGGTAAGGGTGATATACGGCAGAATTATAACTTTAGCATCTGATCGCCAAGTGTTTCGAAATCCGTCCCATTTTATCCCAACCTTTGTGTTTGATTGAGACTAATGAAGTTAAGAATCACCCTTGTCTCTAATACAGCTAAGAATGAATACCTACTTCAACCAGTGATATTTCATTTTCCTCACAAGTCAAAATGCATTGTCACAATTGAATGACTGTCCAGTGGCCATCCTTCTCCTAGCCTTAAATCAATGCCTTCCTTTCCGTTTCAGATGCAGACAGCAGATATTACCGTCAGCATCTGCTAAGTTCCTACTCATGCTTACTGGCACGGATCCAGGACGGTCCTTCTGCCTGTATATTTCTCCTAAAGAAAATCATCCGCGGACCTCCATCCTCGCGACACCAGTCGCCATCATGCGAGCGAACTAGGTCCTTAAGAAGCAGAAGATGCAATGATTCTGTTGAAATCTGTTGTCATATCTTAAGGAGGGTGGGGGAGGGGCGAGTGAGGGAGCTCTCTCTATATGCAGGCTTTGGTACACTCGGGGGCAGATTGATGTTCCACCACTCCCTACCCATCGGGCTCCCATGACTCAGCACTGGCTGCTGCCAGTGGCAGCACTGGCAGCACTGGCACTGGCAGGCAGTGCTGAGCAGTGCTGAGGGCAGGCAACACTGGCAGCAGCCAGTGCTGAGCCATGGGAGCCTGATGGGTAGGGAGTGGTGGAACATCAATCTGCCCCCGAGTGTACTAGTGCCATGTGGAGAAGTTTTCTTTCTTTTTTAAGCAAAGGAAGTGGGAAGGAACCTGTAGGGTATCATTCTGTCGTCCTGTATTATTGATTTAGTGCAGTTGACTTATACTGTGTAATGCGTGAGGCGTGGTCATCACTGTGACACTGTCAGACATAAAATTTTAGGTAATCATGATACCCTGATGGGCAGTTTGTTGACGTAACTGATCGCTATGAAACCGGAAACCGTATAACTCATGTGTTCTGGCCTCTGGGACGTTTTGCGCCTACAACATGGCAGCACCGCTTCCAAGATTACTGTATATTTGAGATAATATGCGGCAATATAAGTATGTAGTTTTCGTTCGCATCTGATCTGGTAATATTCGTACAGTGTACGCAGTATAGCTTTGAGCTTTCCATTTTCAACAGATATGACAATGGCCGGATGATACTGGAATGGTGCCTTTGCTCTGGGCACACGGAACGGGACGCAGTATTGAGTATGCAATTGCAGTCGCACTATGCAGCATGACATACGCCGGAAATCTCCCGGCCCGAACGCCGGAACGGCCAGCGATAGTCGGTACTCATTACGCATAGTGAAAATGGAAACGGTGTCAGCGCAACTCTTCGAAAGGAACGGTGCACTACATGAGACTAGACAAAGGGTCACTGATTAGGGCACCCCAAACGGAACGATGTGCACTGCGCAGCATAATACGCAATATCGCAATAAAAAGCGTGCAACTAACCAGTAACCAGGGCATCCATATCGGAACGGAACGGGATGCAAAAAAAAAAAATGATAAAAGGATGCCACCGACCTCATGGCCGGCCACCGAAACGGAGCAGTAGCTTCGTATCATGTCACGTGATAAGTGCTGAGTGAGAGCGTCAATGATCAGTGATCAGTGTCAGAGCACCCGCAACAGAACGGAGGGCATCAGTGATCACTGATCAGAGCAACTGCAACGGAACGGAGGATCGCTGATCAGGACACCCCAAGCGGAAGGGAAAGCGAGAGCACAACTGACCAGAACACCCGAAACGGAACGGGAGTGAACGGAACGCATTAGCGGCTCGCCGAATCGCGATTCCGGCCAAACATGGCCTCAAGAAATAGGTCACAGGTCAAAGGTCATTTGGGTCAGGAATATGAGATTTTCAGAGTAGGTGTCAAATTAATTGACTCGAGGGTCCTGAAAGTTTCGTCGCGATCGGCCGCTTTTTACGCGAGTTATTCTCGAAAAACGAGGGGGCGGTTCGTTCGACCCCCCCCCCCCCTATACGGGCGAGGGATAATTTATTAAAAAGCTAGGGCCTTCTTAATCCCATCTACCAGCTTCAGAACATGTATTGGGCATATCTGGGAATACCGTATCTTAAATTTATCCCTAGAGGTGTGCCAAGATATCCTTTCATTCATCTTGGCTTTCCCTCGGCCGAACGCTTCGTGTTTAAAAACCTTTAGAAACTAATTGAAATGAATAATTGGCGGTAAGATTATTGCAAAGGCATGAGAAAATAACGTAAAATACATCATTACCGGTCTTATAACCTCATTTCGCGTATGAAACATGCCAGAGTCCACAGAGTTTCAAATTCATCCCTAGGGTGTGCCAGGGTGGCGTGTCAGTCATCTTGAACCCCTGCCCGACACGACGCCTCGAGTTTTAAAGACATCTAAAAACTAATAACGTAAATAATTTGGGGTGAAATTGATATAATATGATCAGAAAAGAACGCAGAATAAATTAGTATCGGTCTCAAAACATTATTTTGCCTAAGAAACCAGCCAGAGCCCGCGGAGTTTTAAATTCATCCCTAGGGTGTGCCCAGGGTGGCTTTTCTCATCTTGGACCTCTACCAGGCGCGACGCCTCGAGCTTTAAAGTCCTCTAGAAGCCATTGACGGACATAATTTGTGGCGAAATTAATGCGATAGGATCAGAAATAAACGCAGAATATATTGGCATCGGTCTCAAAACATTATTTTACCTATCAAACCAGCCAGAGCCCGCGGAGTTTTAAATTCATCCCTAGGGTGTGCGCAGGGTGGCTTTTCTCATCTTGGACCTCTGCCAGGCCCGACGCATCGAGCTTTAAAGTCCTCTAGAAGCCATTGACGGACATAATTTGTGGTGAAATTGATACAATAGGATCAGAAATGAATGTAGAATAAGTTGGTACCTGTCTCATACCCCTATTTTGTATATGAAAGAAGTTAGAGCAAATCAAGTTTTAAATTCATCCCTAGGGTGTGCCAGGGTGTGCCCAGCTGACTGCGGGTCCAAAGATGAAAATTTTGTAGGCGTATCCTGCGCAACTTAGTCAAAAGCGAATGCAGAGGTAGTGTTTAATTTGCGCAAGCAGCGGCTCATCCGTTTTGCGTTGGCAGCAAACCACTAATCATAGTTGTTATAAATATCCAAAAGCATTTATTCAGAACACAAGCCTGGTTTTTACAAACAGTTGAGGTGATCAAGGTCATTCAACGCATATTTGTTATTAACAGCTGGAAGTGTGCAAGGTTATTTTCTTTCGTTGTCAGTCAGGGTGAGTTGTTGGGTTTGTGCCTTGATTTCGAATTTTTTTTTCATGGAAATTATGTATTATGTAGCAAACCTATAAGTTCTATTCTAACTGTCTATATGGCGCTGCTAGGTATATCTGGTAATCTGGCTGTTAATTGTTGAGCATGAGTTGAGCATTTTTCAAAGATGAAAGAATTCCAATTTACCTGGTTTTGGGGATGAAAATATTTTACCCATTAGGTGTGATTTTCCACCTAAAATTCCCAAAAATGGAACACTGCGCCTCACGCATTACACAGTCTGAGTCAACTGCACTAAATCAATAATACAGGACGACCGAATGATACCCTTTGCAACGGCAACGACAGGTTCCTTGCCACTTCCTTTGCTTAAAAAAGAAAGAAAACTTATCCACATGGCAAATTACACTACACCAGACCAGATACCTACCTTGACCAGTGACTAGAACCAAAGCCTGCATATAGGGAGAGCTCCCTCACCCGCCCCTCCCCCACCCTCCTTAAGATATGACAACAGATTTCAACAGAATCAATGCATCTTCTGCTTCTTAAAGACCTAGTTCGCTCGCATGATGGCGACTGGCGTCGCGAGGATGGAGGTCCGCGGATGATCTTCTTTAGGAGAAATATACAGGCAGAAGGACCGTCCTGGATCCGTGCCAGTAAGCATGAGTAGGAACTTAGCAGATGCTGACGGTAATATCTGCTGTCTGCATCTCAAACGGAAAGGAAGGCATTGATTTAAGGCTAGGAGAAGGATGGCCACTGGACTGTCATTCAATTGTGACAATGCATTTTGACTTGTGAGGAAAATGAAATCTCACTGGTTGAAGTAGGTATTCATTCTTTGCTGTATAAGAGACAAGGGTGATTCTTAAATTCATTAGTCTCAATCAAACACAAATGTTGGGATAAAATGGGACGGATTTAGAAACACTTGGCGATCAGATGTTAAAGCTATAATTCTGCCGTAGATCATCCTTACCTATTTGCATCGTCTTTTTCGGTTAGTTTTGGTGGTCAGGAATGGTATGTTCTTTTATTATCAGCCAGCGTAGCGTTACGCCTTTATTGCGAAAGTGATATAGGTTTTCACTTGTTTTTTTCTCATCCTAGATTTTTTGGTCATCATCGTCACACCCAACCAAAATCCAATTTTAGAACACTGACAAAAACACCATCCTGGCCGCACAACGCAATGTTCTCCGTCCCACAGCACACTGTTCTCTGCCCCACAGTGCACGCCCTCCGTCCCAGCCCAGCGCACTGCCCCTCCACCCACCCCTCCCCGCCGGTGGACTCACGATGCCGCAGGCGGCGCTGAGGCCGGCCGCCGCCGACGTCGAGCAGATCTGCAGCCCGATCAGGTAGGTGAGCGTCTTGCCGGTGACAGGCGCGCCGAGGATGTGCGTGGTGGTTACCCGCGGCACGTCGAACAGGTACGGCACGAACAGCGGAAACACCAGACCGTACCTGTGCGCGCACAGAATCGTGTTGTCATGTTATCGACCGGGGCTGAGTTCACTGTCCTCAATTCAGAACAATTTGTGGACCACCCATCGACAAGACAGCTTAAAAGGCTCCTAATGGTTCGAAGAAAAAAAAAACAGTACACACCATCCTGACAGCAGGCTAAAAGCTGTACGGACTATAGGCAGTTTCGTATTCCAGTAGAGAAGACTTCCTTACATCCAAACATTCGAGGGCTATCGATCCGAATAGTCGCTAGTTCGTCGCAGTCAGATTGTCACCGTCACAGTCACCCCCCCCCCCCCCCCGCAGCCGTCGCAAGTCCGAAGTATAGTCTACTCACGGTCCGGGCGGCAGCAGTCTGCCGGGGTGCAGGTCCAGGCCGAGCCGCTGTGTCGCCAGCACACAGAGCACCTCCAGCACAGTTGAGAGCGTCCACGTCACCAGAAGGTGACTGGCAAACTTCCGCGACCCGTATCGACGTTCAAATATTCTGAAACAAGAAAAATGAAATAAACTCGCTGTGCTGACATTTGGTTGTCAAATCTACAAAAACCAGCTCATCATATTTTCTTTCGGATTCGGGTTTTAATTTCAACCAATTTCGCATGCAAACACAAAACGATCCTCTTTTTCATTCGGCCATTTAAAAGTACCGAAAAAAACGGGATTTCATTGGACCTTCAAATTTCCGTATATATGGTTTAAATACTTCACACTTTGTGCTACTGAATGATAGCTTTCAGTGCGTCATGAATGCCTCAGCAATTAACAATGGGCAAGCATTGATCCTACCCAATAATCAGCATCTTTGAGCGGGCAGTGGGCTAGTGGCCTCCTGCCGTCGAGCTCGGGCACCCACCGGAAGTAGTAGATGAGCAGCGCGCTGCAGACCAGGTCCTTGGTGTCGACAAACGCCAGCCGCGAGGTGACCAGCCGATAGAACAGTGGGGAGCCGAGCATGTCCGGCAGGCGACACTCGAGCTGGTGGCGCAAGTGCGCCAGCAGCGGCACGTTGATGGCCGTGCACGTGAGGAACAGGCCGCCCATCAGACCCTTGCTCACCGGCGCCTTGTCTGCCGATAGAAGCATGCAGGCAAGGCTCAGGAGAGGCCAGTGGCAGTCAGTCCCAGCTGAGGATGTATGGTCTGGTCATATTTGGGTCCTCTGCTGGGACAGCAAAACACTGTCCAAGAGTTTAAAATACCATGAATAAGAAATGGTTTTGATCGATGGAATAGAGAGATGATTTAAGATAAGAATACATTTTGACTTGCTCATTGATCCATAATTAATGGCAATCAGGTACGCCCATATATGAGACAAAGTTGTTTAATAATGTCTACATTTTGATGCATACCTATTTGATGCTATTTTGTCCTCAAGGTAGTGTGCCAGTCAACAAAATAAGCAATGCCACCTGCATTTCAGTGCCTACATGTTGAACACAAAGGCAGAAAACTCACAGAATCCAGTAGTGCTGTACTGGGACAAAACAGTTGCCATGATGTGTTGACTCTTTTATCGCTTGACTAAGGTAATCTCTGAAAGGCAAGGTGGTTAGGAACTGAGCAGTCATGCAAAAGCAAAACAAAAGAAAACAAGCAGCTGAAATGAGTTGACCAACAACAACCATTGCAACTTGCAAATGGTTAGTGGTACCTATGGGCTATGCCACAGCCCAATGGTCAACAGTGTATGTGGCAATGTATGAAAGACAACACACAGAATACACGCTGGGTCATATCCAGGTACATCAGCTCAGGCTGTAGCTGATAGATATTGCTTTTTTCTTAAACCCTGGGAAAATGTCAAAGTGTATGTATTTAAAACTCTCATTCAACACAACAAAACAGTCTCATTCACTGGTATTTGATAGTACTCTGCTGGCAGATAAGTAAGAAACTCAAACCATCTGTTGTTCTCATCAGAAAGCAGTTGAGTGAAGCATACTGCTCCTGCTAAGCTCATAATTAATTGTAAATGCTAAGATGTCAGTGCGCCGTTTGCAACCTTAAACTATATACTCCTGCTTGTCTGATGACATCTGGGCCCTGTTTCACCGGTGATAGCAGCACGCTGCCACACTAATGACGTTTCGTGTAATCCGTGAGCTTTTTCACAGCTACATTTGGAACAAAGTTGCTGTCTCATTGAATGCATTTGATACATTTGTTTGATTGCACGGCCGTGAAGATGTTAGCAGCAATATTAGATGACATCACACAGATTCACAACGTTATGGTTTATTGATGTCTCCATGGAAAACCAATTTGACACGTGTAATAGCAGCGTGCTGCTATCACCGGTGAAACAGGGCTCTGGTGTGACCGCGTGCTAGCTCACTGACCTACTCACTGACACACTGTCAATGAACTTTTCTCAATACTAATGGCTTTTTTGTATCGTTAGACATATTTATAAAATCTGATGGCCAAAAGATGCAAACCAAAATGATAAATAAAATCATGTTGATTTAGATTATTTAGAATAAAAAACAAACAGATTTAGACTTTAATTATCATTTTGGTTTGCAACTATTGGCCATCAAATTTTATAAATAATGGTTTTCCAGGCCTATAGGCATGATTATTTTTGTACAAAAACAAGACCAAACCTTTGGGCATGCCTGTAAAATCAAGAGTTTTCTTAAAACGCAAATTACAATAAAAATAGCTTGTCAGATAACATCTTGTCCTAGCATTAATCAAAATATTCACTTCATATAGCATCAATCATTTTATTTCAATATTTTGATTGTTGATCAATATAATAGATAGAATTAACACATACATTCATACACGACATTTACTAGCAGTACATATCAGTAGGGCCCTGTTTCTTGGGCACACCGCCACAGTGCGCTGCAGTTTTGGTGCAGCGCCAGCGACAAATTCAATGAGATGCTTCAGCATTGCAGCATGGTATCAGTTTCAGTTAATTTTGTTGATGTTTCGGTATTAGTATATATTAGGTCCGAGTGGACAATTGTGACGCTGTTGATACAAATATGTAACAGCAAAAAAATAAGGTTTTAGGTAAGGTTAGGTTGTAGGTTTGTAGGTTTTAGGTTTTAGGTTGTTAGGTTAGGTTGTAGGTTGTAGGTTTTTAGGTAAATAGGTAAGGTTAGGTCAGGTTTGATTATGTTTTTCTTTTATTTCCAAGACATATAAGTATCATTTTTGGATTCAGGATGTCAAATAATGTAAGAATATGAAAACTTTATCTTTTAACAGTCACTCGGACTCAATGTATACTTTTACCAATGTTTCCATGGAATACCAACACACCGCTACACATAGGGCGCTGCCATGGAACAGTGCCTAGGCCTAATAGCAATCACCAAAAGAACATTACAATTAGAATCACACCTTGATCTCACATCAAACGAGCCTCAGACCTCTGATTTGAAGCAATGATGACGCTGCTGTTTGATTTTAGAAATAAACCATTAACGAGACACAGCATGTACTACTCATAAAAACCATTTGATAATTTCATTTTACCCTTGCCTTGAATAAAAAAAGAAACAAAACATGGTGTGGCCCTGAACGTATGAGCAGAGATAACAAATATGTGAATACTGAATAATCTACAAATGTTGAGATAAATGAGCGCAAAATTCTCATTATAATATCTGACGAAATAAGTAGAAGTTTAAATACCTCCCAAACCATCCCATACCAAGGGCCTGTTCCAGCGCCTCCAGTAGAAATTCTTGACTGGAGGCTCTACCAGAGGTTTCACTGGAGGCGCTGGAACGCAATCTGGAGATTTCTGGAGATTGGCATCACAGATACCAAAAGAATGACGATTGCTCTCTCTTGAAACGCAAAATTTGTTTTCAAATTTATTAAGAATGATTAACAAAATTATAGCAATGTAATTTTCTTTACATTCAAGTTGTAAAATAATCAGTCAAAAGTCCTTTGTTTACATTCGTGATTGTTACATGTGCGCCATAATTGTAGACCAGAGCCTCCAGAGAAATTTGGACCTCCCAACTCTCTGGAGGCTACTGGAGGTTTCTGGAGCTTTGGCGAGAGCTTTCTGGAGCTTTCTGGAGGCGCTGGAACGCTCTCTGGAGGATTCTAGAGCTTTCTGGAGCTTTCTGGAGGTTTCTGGAGGCGCTGGAACAGGCCCCAAAACAATCCAACACAAGCAACACACGATTAATTGAGACAATTATGGATGACTGTCGGCAATATGTGTTCAAATCGCCTGTTCATGAGCAGTACCGACAACCCAATCGATCTAATTGAACAAAAAATCGACCAATCGGCGCTCGCGGCAGCATGATGCTAATTGGCCGAAAGGCGGTGACGTTTTCAGAGGGTCCTCAGTCGTTCAAGCAAGATTACTTTGCGTTCAAGGGGAGCACCAAGGCCATATAGGGGAGCACCACGGTAGAACGGCATGGAGAGCACCTCTTATACGGGGTACCAGTGAGCACCCTCTTAAGTCTCTCTAGCGGCAGACCAAGCCCCAACATTTCAAAAATAGTGAATCCTCTAAAAGGTCCGCCCCAGGTTCAAACTGATCTTTCCCTGGTGACCGAGCCCCAAACCCTTCAAACGGCGTAATAAGACTTTCCATGCTTCAAGCTGGTATACATGCGCCCCACCCCAAAGTTCTCGGAGTCGGAGAGCTCCAATTGGCTCCCGGATGCAAGCAAGGCTATTGGCAGCTCAAGAGAGTATTTATACCGATCTCGGGGCCCATGCTGGGAGTGGGATACCCTACCTCAACCTTGGCTTTCACGGGTCCAACACGCATGACATCTGTGCGTCCGATGCAGATATGAGACCTCATGCTGGCTCTGAGGTTGCCATGTCGACACGGTGCCTGCACTGATCTCGATGATGACCCCATGACATCCCCCTCAACAGCTTCACAGCGTTTTTCAAGATCTAAATCCGGCTTCTCAGAGTACAACGTAGGCCTAACTTGTTCAAAAGTTTGCACACGAGCCTCTCACGAGTCTTAAGACTCGACTTGGAAACGTGATGGTTCATATCACGTTTAACGTCGCACGACAGCGAGCTAGCGAAAGTGTCGTTTCTTACACTCTCCCTAATCCCATCTACCCGTCATATTCTCTAAAAGATGTAGATAATAAATAACGTGCATATATTTTCAACATAGTTCCAGATGATTCATGATATCTAAAAATTCAACAGTAATCTTGAGTACCAGCTATCCAATGCACGAAGGCGTCAAGTTGCTTTACGCTTGGACAATCAGTAAGACCAGTAAGATCAGTAAGACGAGCCCGTCTTCTACTTTTACACCCAAGCAGGTTAACAAGCTTCTGCCTTCTACGAGTGATGATTGAAACATACGATAGGCGCGACACGCTTGTAGCGACTTTATGTAGTATTGTGACACCTTATTCGGTCACGATGTACCCTCACGCCGAATATGTAGAATTATGTTTGGTCAACGTCGTCAGCCTTTTACAGGTGCCGGCCGTTCGGAGCGCCGCTCGCCGGGTCTAGCTGACCGCCCACCACCGCTGGTCGAACCCTCGCTGGGCGCAGCGCTGAGCTCTGGTCACTGGTCAGGCAGCCAGTCGTCGAGTTGGAGAGCCCGGGATTGTCGACACTGTCACTGACCAAACCGCGATCAGACGCGCCAGCACTCGGCTATCCTCTGGCTCCAGTCTCGCCAAGATCTGGGGGCATGTTCTTTGATCAGGTGTGTACAAGTTACATACTCTGTAGTATTAAAGGTCTCCAGACTCCAATGAGGGCAATATTCACCTTGACCACCTGCAAAATAGCTACTGTAATAAACACCGCTCGCAAAACGCCTATCTGCAAAAACGCGAAAAACAGGGGTTATTAAAAATTCGACATCACACGGCACCGTCCATCTGAAAAGCCTAACAAAGAGACTAGCACCACAACTCATTGGGAAACAAACAAAAGCACCAAAAAGTCCAGCATCAACACTCATTGGGAAACCAAAAAGACAAAAGAGCCACAAAACATTCGACATCTCACACCATATAGCTGTCTCACACACCACACCGGGAGCATGACGATTGCGTAAATTTCAGCGGAGCTTTTGCTTGTTGATTGGGGCTTTAGGGCGCGCCGACTGCTAAGGTCATTTTGCGCCCATAACGTCGTACTAATAAAACAAGTGTGCCACAAGAAAGAACCTTCTAGATACTAAGACTAGAAAGTAAGACTCGATATAAAATAGCAAGGTAAGATAAGACAGCGCAAAGGTGTCGTCCTAGACAACTGACTAGATGAAAGGACTAGAGAGGGCTAGTTGGATTGGGGTCAGGTCGAGTAAATCACTTGGAAGTTGATCGAACGGATAAAAGAAAAGATGTTGCCGGATAAAACCCAGGGTGACTCGTCACCCAGTAAGCGGCGGATAGTGGTACCCGGAGCGATGCGCCCGAGGTAGCGTGTCCGGTTCGGTTCAGCGAGAGGACAAGATAAAAGCACGTGAGAGACAGTGAGAGGCACGGTACACCTGCGACAGGTGGGCTGCTCTTCTCCGCGGAGGAGATGACCATGCGTGGCATACGTATGGCCGATGCGCAGCCTACATAAGACGACTTCGTTATGTCTGTTACTTTGCATGGATGACGACCAAGGCTCAAGAGTTGGCTTGATATCTCTCAGCTTACTGCTCGCGCGCGAGTCCCACTCTGCCTGCCACTGCGAGAGCATGGAAGATCGTACGACGGGATAGTAATCCCGGGCAGGCAGAGGAAATCGCCGAGTGTGGGGCGCTGCGGCAGCGCGTCTCGCGGCGGCGTCAGCAAGCTCGTTGCCTTGGATTCCAACATGACTGGGAATCCAGCAAAACCGGATAGTTTTTCCGGACTGT